GGGGGGGGTGTAGAGGGCCCATTAAAATCAGTTTTTTTTTTGAAATTAATATGAAATATGCATTTATTTATAATTAAAATGCAGAAAATAATTTTTAAAGATTTAAATTTGGGTTTTTTTTGGGGGTTTCCGTGCAGGAAGAGCACCGCTGTAGGCGGCTGCAGCCACCGGCAGCAGTAGGCAGTGTGTTGGTGATGAGCAGCAGTTTATATTTACTTTTGGTTTTAATATATGAAATTTTATGTTTGTAGCTTTTAAAATTATTTATTAATTTATTTAATATCTTTTTGACTCTAAACTACAATCAAAAAAAAAAAAAAAAACAGCAGAGCTGCGCATACACCCCAACCGGCGGTGTGGTTTGGTGCTGCAGTTGCTGTTGCTGCTGCTGCTGCAACCCTGGTTTTATTTTCTGTGTTTTTTCTGCTTTTATTTCAATAAAAAGAATTATTATATTTATAAATAAACTAAATTTCAGCTGCAGCAGATGTAAAACAGCTGGCTGTGCTGCGTGCGTGTGTGTGTGTATGTGTCCATTGGTCTGGGGTGTATGTACACCTGGTGGTTGCTGCAGCAGCAAGCATCATTTGTAGCTATTTTATTATATTTTTTTGTATTTTTTGAGTTTTTATCAGCATGAAGGAGGTGAAGGGGGGTTTATTATCTCTACTGAGTAGCTGCTGGCTCAGAAGCACACGAAAACAACCGACCCCTTCTTCTGTATTGTTTGGTTGTTGTTTACTAAGTTTAGGTCTCGGGGGTTCGTTCGGGTGGAGCTGTGTATTGACGCGGCTGTGGCCTGTATGTAAGCTGGGGTGTACATACACCCCAGGTGTGTTCGCCGCAGATGCTTGTCTTTCTGTATGGATGCTCGTTTGTTTTTGTATGGGGGCCCTCGCTGCTCTCCCTTTATCTATATTAATAGATAATAAATGGGGGCCCCTTGTACCCTGTTTATTAGGTTCTTGTTTATCTTTTTGTTGCTGTATGGTTGCTAGTTTATATCTTTGTAATATATTTCTTCTTTTTTTTTGTTTAGCGATAGGGAATGGTGTAGGTTTTGGTTTGTTGTTTTTTCCTGCATCAACAGCAGCAACACGCTGGGGTGTACATACACCTCATCCTCTCCTTTCTGTTGCTAGACAAACTGCCTTCTTTTCTTCTTTTCTTCTTTCTGCTCCCCCCCTTATTCTCTTTCTTGGATTGGGCGCACCCCAACCAACACCAACAACCACCAGCAACCCTAAACCCTAAACCCTAAACCCTAAACCCTAAACCCTAAACCCTAAACCCTAAACCCTAAACCCTCCCTAAACCCTAAACCCTAAACCCTAAACCCTAAACCCTAAACCCTAAACCCTAAACCCTAAACCCTAAAATAAACCCTAAACCCTAAACCCTAAACCCTAAACCCTAAACCCTAAACCCTAAACCCTAAACCCTAAACCGTTTGTTTTTTTTTTGGTGTGGTAGGGGAAAGAACTGACGGCTATCATATCATCTGACTTATGCTGTTTCAGGGTTTAGGGTTTAGGGTTTAGGGTTTAGGGTTTAGGGTTTGTTGTGTTTGGGGTTTAGGTTACGAAGAAGATATAAAAAAACTACAAACAGCAACACGAGCGCTTGCTTCTATTATTTTTATTCTGCAGCTGCTGGGGGCCTCCTTCATCGCCAATCCACCCTGGTAAAACAAAACAAAAAAATAGCTGCCTATACACCTGAAAACACACACACCTGCCTATACACCTGAAACACACACACACCTGCATATACACCTCAAACACACAC